GCAGCCTGGGATCGAACCACCGACCTTCTGATTAGTGGCTGACCTGCTCTGCCACCTGAGCTACAGCCACCCACTATGGCTGATAGAACAAAGGAATGTAGAAATGACAAAAAATATTAAAGGCTTTGTTGTTTGCTTGTCCATATTCTTGTATTTTTGGATAACTATTGATCAGTAAATAATTAAGCAGTCATTTCAAGTATTAAAAAGAAAACACCAGCTTAAATTAGAGCTTCACAAAAATCAGGAAGAGCTGTCGTTCATTGGGGGGAAACATAAAGGAGACTAATGATATCCAGTGGAGGTGTGGCAATGCTCATTTTTGTCTGTTGATTTTAAAGTAGAGCTAAGTGTGGCTGTGTGTTTGTATAGGTGTTTGTTTATTTCCATGTTTCAGCTTTTTTGATTTACTGGGTATGAGTATTTGTAGGTGAAAGACTGTTGTGTGTGGGAAGGGCACAAAGTGGAGGCCAGACAGGTGAGCCCATTTACATCCACTTATCAAGGGCCTGAATTTGGGGATACTAAGGGTTTATTTGAAATGTTATTTTTCCAGGGAGGAATGATTGTGCAGCATACATCTTTAAAAAGCAAGTATTGTTGGGGGGGGCTTTTCCATCCATAGGAGGTCAAAAGTACAAAGCATCTGGATGGTGCACATCAGATGCTTTTGATAGACATCAGTATTCAACATGATTTCTTGAGGTAGAGAAATTAATTAATCTATTTGATAATTAGAGGTGGGTTGCATGAATAAGAATCTGAAAGGGAGCATGACAAAGAGCATTAATATTTAAAGCATGCAAAGTGAAGGCTGATTCTCAAAGCAGATGGGCGAGAAGATGATTGGACTAGAGCAGGGATCGGCAACCTGTGGCTCTTTAGTCCTTATAGTGCGGCTCCGCGTGGTTTGGGAAAATAAATTAGAAGTATTTAGCTGAAGTGTATTTTATTTATGTTAGTTCTTTTTTAACGTGTAGTTCTAAATTGTTAGATTATTGTGATATTGAAATATAAAAATATACATCTCTTTATTGACCACTT